AGTGGAAAAGAAACAAGAAAAATTACCCAACTATTGAAGTTGCAGCAATAGGACTATGATTTTAAATGCACACTGGAATGCCAGAAGTGATAATAATATTACTGTTCCTAGCAGAAAAAAAAACACAAACAAACGCAAATCCGAAATTTAATATTTTATAGAGAAAGAGAACAGCTTTACCAAAACATTAGGTATTTTAAAAAAACAAAAAAACAAAAACAAAACAAAAGCAATTAACAAAGGGAAGAGAATAAGATTATTACAGCCAAACAATTAACAAGTCTTTCCATTAGCTCCCACGTAGATTTTAAAGAGACATGCTCTTCAATGTTATACGTCTCTGGCAATACGATGTAGAAGAGTTTGTATTTTTCTAAAACTTAATATGAAAAGTGGTGGGATGTATGAAGTGTGTGTATAGATGTACTAGAGTTAAGTATTAAGTTGGATGTCTTTTTACACAATAATAAAACTTACAGCTTAATGATTTAAGTATTTAGGTGAACAAAGAGAAGTGTGGGGTTTAAATAGAAAATATCTTAATTTTTAGGATAAGAAATATTAAATAGAAAAGGCTAAATTGTTGCTAGTTAATAAAATATGGAACAGGAAAAAAGCCAATAAAATGTTTTATTAGGTAAAATTTGTGAAAAACACAAATGAAAAATTAGACCATTACAATATTTTAATATATTTTATTTATTATTTATAATATATTTTATTTTTATTTAATAATATATGAAAAATACGTGAATTGTGTTTATATTATTGAAAATTTTATAAAAAATACGTGTATTAAATGTGAAGAATACATATGTACATGTATTAAAAGTGAATCTTTTGATTTTCAAAAACGTGTATTTTACCCCCATCAAAATGCAAAAATTCATTGATGAACCCTAAAATGCGAGAATTCATAAATTCATAACTGAAACCTCAAAATTCATTACATGGTTGTGTGATTTGTTGGGCTGTATCCAATTTTCCACTTGTCTTTTATTCTAGAAAAAGTATGACAAGGTCCATAGCGTATATCGATCTATAATTTTTTAATTCTTGGGTGGCTGACATTAGTGAATCCTTCTTCTTCTTTTTTCCTCTCAGATTCAATCGAAGAACAAGCGGCATTTCAGATCAACAACCCTCTCCATGGTTTTCTATTGAGATCAATCGGAGGAAAAATTGTTATTGAAGAACTTTGGGAACACAGGAACATACAACTTTGGACGTATGAAGGCGATTTTCTTTCTGGAAAGTTGCTCGGAAAGTTAGCCAATTCGCTTGTCATTTTGAAAGAAAATTCTTGATTCCCAGCAAGAAAGCAACTGGTAAAACAATTGATATACATCAAAATTGAATTACAAGAAGTGATGAAGAAGACTATTCTTGTGCAAGCTTGGTTTGATTTGTTGAAATGCCAATCCCCAGCAAAGAAAGATCTTGTCGAAGCAAATCTGCATTTTTGAAATGTAGACCAATGATACCAATTTCCTTTGCAGCTTCTACATTTCTCATACTGTGATGCAACCATGAACCAAGATAATAATTAATTAGTATGTGAAGTTAACTCATTCATTGTCTACAAACTATATCGATCATAATACCAAAGTTCTAAGAATAAATTAAAGTATAAAAAAGAACCTGAAACTGCAGATGCAATCATGCAACATGAATTGGAACCATGAATATAAGGTGTTTATATCTCCGAGTTTTAAAACCTTCAAAACTCGCATAACCCAAAATCTTGAATTCAACTTTTATATTGGTAGGTTGCAACATTGAATCTTGGCCACACACACTAAGCCCAACTGGGTGCTTTAGATAAACTTAAATGACCAACTAATTGAATTTCTGCAAGAACATTAATGCAATGAAAACTGTGTCATAAATGGCAATCCTATATTCAGATTACACAAGGAAGCAAACCTGTCGTCGATGAAGATACAGCTTGCTGGATCAACTTTTAGAAGTCTTTCAACTTCCAAATAGAATTCAGGATCAGGCTTCCTCTTCCCTGAAGAAAAAAAAAAGTGCACAGGCAGAGCATTGAGACATTCATGTGGATGTGCTTGTGCAGCTACAGATGGAAGAGAATCCTAAAAGTAAAATGCAAACACTTAACGTACCACTTATACATGAACAGAACGTCCAAGACAAATATTTTGAGATTTTTAATTTGTCCTCAATCATCTCGTACCTAACAAAACAAAATTTCCTGAATAAAATGATAAACTGCTTCACTTAATAAGAAAACTTGATATAGAAATTTTCATCTAACCAGATGGGATAGTTTGTGAAGGCATGCATCTCATAGTTGTTATCTTTCAATGAATGAAGCAATTCTTCTATGCCTTCAACATAGGAATATCCCTTTCTCATGCAATCTTTTAGGCCTGCAAAGATAAATGAAGTACTTTCCTGTAAGATTCGGAAGGAAGAGCATATTATACGAGAACACATTTTA